TAAAGCAAAGCAATTTTTTCTTGTTTATCAGAAATGCGGCACTTCTACTACCTGCATAAAAGCTGCAGAGATTATATACATACATGACTGCCGAAACAACTGAAGCACACTTGAAGTTCCAGCAAAGCAATTCCTTCGCAAACATCGCCAATATCTACCACTATAGCGCAACCAGTTCATATCTACTAAAAGGATGCCATTATATACATACATGACTGCCGAAACAACTGAAGCACACTTGAATTTCCAGCAAAGCAATTCCTTCGCAAACATCGCTAATATCTACTACTATAGCGCAACCAGTTCATATCTACTAAGGGCCTGTTCTGATCTCCTCCCACTCCACGCTTCACAAAATTCTGGAGCGAAGCAGAGCCAAACGATTTTGCCACCGGAAGCTAGCTTCGGGAAGCTTTGGGCGATTCCAGTGCAAAAAACTGGAGCGAGGCCGGCCCAGCTCCACCAAATAAAAAAGATGAAGTTCGATGAATATTACGGCCGATGTGCCACCGCTTAAGAAAACGGTTTGCACTTTCCCTCGTAAAGAAAACGGTTCGCTCTCCCTCATACGTAAACTTTCCTTGCTCCCTCGAAATGGGCTGGTTTCAGCCGGCCCAAATGCCACCGAACAGGACAGATCTTGGTCTAGCTGGGCTGCCAGCCAATGGATCACTCGAAGAAGCTATCATCGAGCAGAACAGATTGAGATCGCCAGGCAGAGCCGGAAGCTAGCGTGAGAAGCTGGCCATGTGAAGTTTTGTGAAGTTGGAGGAGATCAGAACAGGCCCTAAAAGGATGCCATAATCTACATGAAGTGCGCCCAAATTGAAGGCAGGCCAGAGGCAAATCCAACATTCCACCAATCTATCTGCCAATAATCTACTGTTCATTGAACAATTATACTAAGAAACTATGACCCTACTGCTACTACTATTATTATTATGGGCAAATAACTGAGAATAGAAGCAGATAACATACATGTTACGGAGACCAGCTAGTGTGAATCCTAAAGTGGTCAACAAATTCAGGATCCCAAATGAATCCAGGGTTGGCAAAATCGAAGACAGCAATTTCCTAATAAACCTAAAATTGAGCTAGGGCGCACACGGATCTGAGAAAATCCATACCGAATAGAGGACGTTGGGCTTCTCGGACGAGGCGAGGAGGGAGATGCTGGAGTCGGCCTCGGGGGGCAGGACGTCGACGAGCGCGTTGGAGTGGCGGTGCAGGGCGACGGAGGCGGAGGGCTTGAGCAGCTCGCGGTTGATGGTGCTGAGGATGCGCACGTAGTAGTTGCTGCCGGTGGTGGAGCCGACGATGCCGTTGTTGCCGTCGACCATCTCCATGAACTGGCCGATGACGAGCGGCACCGACTGGATCCGCTTGACCTCCTCCTGCGCGCGCAGCAGCTCGCGCTTCAGGTTCTTCTGCTCGTCCTTGACGTACTCCTCCTGGATCTCGACGAACTCCATGTGGCGCTGGAGGGACTTGAGGCGGCCGTAGAGGTCGTCGTCGTCCTCGGCGGAGGGGGCGGGGGGCGCCGCGGGGTAGGACGGCGGGGGCGCCGACGGGAGCGGCGCCGGTGGGCTCGGCGCGACGGCCGCGGCCGACATCGCGGGCGGCGGGGGGCGGGGGGCTAGGGTTTGGTGGCGGGGGCGGGTCTGCGGTTCCGATCCGTCGAGAGGAAGCGGAGATGTGTGCGGAGGAACCTGAGCCGCGAACAGTGGTTTGCTTGGAAGAAGGGAAAGGCAGTAGTAGTAGCCGGGCCACTGTTTGCCTATGCCAAACTCACACGGATTCGATCTCCAAGCTACAGTAGGAATAGAACTTAATAACGCTTTTTAAAAAATATATTTTTTAAAGCTTAAAGGCATCTTATATCGGATTAACAAGAAAAACAGTACATAATATATTGGAAAAAACAACGAGATATAAAACGATAAAAAAAATTGAAAACCATAATGCTTGTTTTGTAGGTCTATCCTCGCAATTCTTTCGTGGAGGTCAAATCAAACGTCGTCAGGTAGGGAAGGAGAGCTTATTCCAATGCGCTATCACCGCCACCGCCTCGTCCGATGACGCGAGGGATCCAAGAACTAAGAAAAATAAGAACCTATTAGAACTAAGAAAAACGAAAGGGGGTGGGACCCCACTCATCTGGCCGCCGACAACCCACCGAGTGGGAGAGATGCGAGGGTCGAAGCTCCAGCGTTTGGGAGACCTTGCTTGCAGCTTGGGTTGGGGAACGAGTCACGAATATAACTCAATGTTGCTTGCCTAAGCCGGATTAACTGGCCAAGTTAGGGTATGGGACAACCCAATGTCTTTTCCACGCCGCGGTCATGACTCCCCTCCTCGATCATGTTCGACGGTTCGTCAGCGGCCAGAGGAGTGGGGATCCATCCCATTCACCTTTTAGGGTTGAACAAGTTCTTGTTTCCCCTATGCATTTTTTTTTTGTTTCCTTGTCGATGTCGACGGAGTGGCGATGACAGATGCGCGCCTTCGGCTTGCTTCAGTGCTTGTAGTCGTCGGCAGGTGGTCTATGAATCTAGATGTAATTTTTATTACTTCTGGTGTTCATTGTACTGCCCTGATTGAAGATGAATAGATCGACATTTTCTCGCAAAAAAAAAACCCTCTCCCTATGTCGACGATATCCGATCCAGTTGCTTACAAAGGGCTAGTGAGGGTTGGTGTTGCCTAATATGTTGTCTCTCTGCGGATTTTGGTAATTTATGTGACAATAAAGGGAAACAATTACTGGATTTTAGTGTGGCGACTTCAACCGCTTCTTCTGAGTTGTTTTGCGGCATGAGCTAATGAGCTAGTTTTTCCAACCCTTTGGACCGATGGTGAAGGATTGAAAGCCTGCGTAGTGGGGCTGATGCCTCAACCAATATTCCTTCAACATTTACTGTGCATTTCATTTCTAGCAACGTGTGGCTATTGCAACAGTGTATTTTTCAAACTTTTGCGGACACATACAAGCGAAGAAGAAGATGGGCAGTGTGATTTTCGCTGTAGTTTTATTTTCTTGTCATGTTATTTTCTACTGTTTCCTTAATAATTTTCAGTTTTAAGATGCCCTTTGGGTGTCTTTTTTTTTTAAAAAGCCACTTTGGTTGTTTCGCTTGTGCTATTCTGTGTTTTTTTGAAAGAGCTACATACATGGTATACCTGGCCATCTGTCGGGCCGGGCCTATCAAAGCCCGATGCAAAAAACCCAGGCCCGAGCCCGACCCGGCCATTGGGCCTAAAAATCAGTCTTGAGCCCGGCCATCACACTAAAAGCCCGCCAGACCTCTTCCTTACACAACAAATATGACGGGCCCGGCCCGGCCCGACCGTCAGGCTCAAAATCTAGGCCCAAGCCCAGCCCGTGGGCAAAGCCAGGTTGGGCTTTTTCAGGCCGGGTCGGTCGGGCTGTCCGGACCGAGCTGCCCATGGCCAAGACTAATACATGGTGACAAAACACTAAATGAGACAAAACTTCTATTCAATTATTATCCAATGATTGTGCCCTTTTTCTCCCGAACACGCTAGTATATACAGCTTGTTCAAAAAGAGAATAAAAGCAATTGGCAGTCTGCCAAACACCAAATGTCTAACTGCTGCTAAACCAATCGAGATTATTGTAGTATCATATCAAAGAGCTTGATAGCAACAGATGCCAAAAATAAAATAAATAGGCACCACGTGTAGCTATACCTGTATCATCGCGGGCAGGGCAACATACATTGAATTGTAAAGTTGAAAATTTCAAAATGACCAGCCAAACTGCAAAAGGATTGAACACGGAAATGTATTTTTATTCTGTTTCCAAAACACAACTATTTCTATGCTTGTACCTAGCAATGCAGCAGAACATATGGTAGTTCTTTGGGCTGAGACCCGGTGAAAAAGAAACCTTTCATTCTGAGGAACGACAGGAACAAAAACCCACTTGATGCAGACAAAAAAGATCGTCGAATGAATGGCAGGCACGGGTTACAGTCAGGAGAGACCAAAGATCATTAAATCCACCGATTTTTATTTTTTTGCCTAACGTCAGTTTCGTACTTCAACTTGGTCCCATAGTCCTTCTGTACATATAGCCGCAAATATCAAAAGAACCCAACTACCATCTCCTACACTCCCTATAACTGAAGAAAAGAAAAATAGCTGCAGGCATAGGAGGATGATGAGAAAGCATAGATCGACAATGATGTTGACCTGCCACATATCAGAAGCACTATGATGGTCACCAATATGGTAGTGATCATCATGACCCCAAGTTCGGCTATGCCTGTAGTAAATACTGGGCATTAGAAAGATTATGTGGCGGTAGTGGTGACAATTCAAATGAAAGAAAGGAATTATATATAACAAATCAGCGCATGAATGACTTAGGACATTGCTCTTTATTCAAAATAACATACTCCCTCCGTCCCAAAATAAGTGTCTTGAGCTTAGTACAAATTTGTACTAGAGCTAGTACAAAGTAGACACTTATTTTGGGACGGAGGGAGTATGTTATAAATATTCTGTATGTTTGCAGATCCAAGTCAAATAGTGGGATCGGCAGTGTTGTAAGGAGATTAACACTACCATGCAAGTCCATCAGGATAGAGAAGGCAACTTAGCACGAAGTAATATTGACCAGACAACCATTCTCAACAACCAAATTCAATTTACATGATAGGCACATACTAAACAGATCCAATGCTAGCAATTTCAACACCGTATATCCTGAGAAACACTGTAAAATCAGCATAAATGGAGTAAAGTGTTATAAGTTTGTAGCATAAATGGATAAAGATAGTAAAAAGAAGCTTAGTTTCACTATAATATTAAAAATTATTTCATAATGTGTGAAAAAAGTGCATGGCAATAAACATATCAGATTTGAAATAGGCGCGTAAACAAACTAGTTTGTCTTACTCGGGATAGACAGAAGGTCTTCTCATTTTCAGTCAAGTTCTCCACAAAAACTGCAGTTTGCCCTGGGTAACCCAGTAGAAGGCATGGAAGGACAAGACATGCAAAGGTAAGCTGCACCATATGAGCAATAGTAAGTTCTCAACTAGGTGTTGGAAGTGCAACATGGAGCCCTCAGCAGTGCAAAAGACAAACTGAACTGATAGACTAGTTGAACTGATCTAACAGAGTAGCAAATCAGCAAACATTGCCTCGGATCCTCTGCAGAAAAACCAATCTTGTAAATATCTACGCTACAAACTTTACTCAATGCTTAAGATATACTTACTTCCAACCTAAGGTAAGTAAATGTAGAATCACATATATTATGTATTGCAAAGGCTAATATCGTTCATATCGTACACTGGGTGATGAGAGTGTCCATAAAGTCCACACTATTTGTAGGGTCTATGCAACACAACATTAGAGAGGATTCTTACATTTTTCTAGGTGATGATTATTTCCAGTAATATCCTCTTACAGAATTTGCCATTAATTTGGATTCAAGATTACCCTCTCTTTACATACTTTACTAACGCAGAACCCATAGTACTGATTATTAAATGGATAGTAAATCCAAAATCACTAGAGCGTCATTTGCTTGCCCTGATGTTTGACCTCTCACCTTAAGTTGAAGTAGCTTTAACTATTAACTAAGTGGCCTGTGAATATACTGGATGCTGACTCAAAATATAACAGGGGGGAAACCATTTCAATCTTTCTAGCATCTCTGCGAGGACCTGAGGTTTCAGAAATGCGTCATATTGTTGACTGATGCAAATCGTTTTGTATCTTAGTAAAACAGAAGCGTGTTTGGCTTATATCTCGAAATAATAATTTTAGCAATAATGAGTTAAATTTGTTAGCAATGAAAGGAATTAGTTCTCTTTTCCATGATGTCAAATACAGATGTACATGACATTTAATGTTAACAACAGAGGTTCCACAATATGAACTCAGCAGAGAGGATGCCTTCAAATTCTTGTGCTTGCGGTGTGTCCAATTTGGTCATCAAGCGCATTCCACGTGGCACAGTTACTGGTAAGAACAAAAAGTCTAATTATGTTTACTAAAACCACAAATGCGCTCAGCATATTTGTGAGTTTTGGAATCCTATAGGAGAAAAAACAGAAGGACACATGACAGACGGTAACAAATTTTATGTCACTCAAACAAAAATATGCACCTGAAGCAAATACATTTTTAGAGAACTTCAAATAAGTTTCATCACAACTAACACATCAACAGGTAAAAAAAAAACATGTTTCACATAAAAGGCAGCCCCTTCCTGTCCCAAAAAGACAGCAAGCCAACTTTACGTGTTCCAAACCTTTGCAGACTGATTAGAACAACGAGAAATGCAACGTCATGACCACTTCACCTGACAAAAAAGATCAAAATAGAAGGTGAGCATCCTGCACTTCTAAGCATTAAGCCAGTAACACATCTTTTTATCAAGGTCATCTTCATTAACACTAGATATTCCAGCCTTCAAGCCATCTACAGCAGACTTAAACTACAGAAAAAAAATGGAATTAATACTGTGATAAGATGAAAACTGGTAACACAATACTACTGCTGAAAGCAAATATGCAATGCATCAGAAGTATATGAAACTGACATTGCTGGTGTAACAGCACCATCCGCTATCACCACAGAAGTACAAAAAAGAACAAGCATCAAAAGTAGCTTCTTCAGCATAGATGAAGTCTCAAGGTGCTCTTTGATCCACAAAGACCTCTTGAGTTCTACCAACGGTACCTTGAGCTGGAAACCTGATATACGGGTCTCAGAGAGCAGTTTTTTTTTTTTGACAGAAAGACTGTAAGGGAACCCCCTACAGCATAATTGGTGCAACAAACCCAAATTGCAAGTACCGTGCCTTGAACCTGTTTGGGTGGGAAGGCATCAGCAGCCCCTTCCCACCACTAGGCTATGCCTTAGTCTGCATCTCAGAGAGCAGTTAATTAGGGAGCAGGCTAGCCTTTGCATTCCTGCATAGTATTAGAGAGTATAAAGCAAATATTCCTCCTGCCAAATATACAGAACAATCATTACTAAACATAAAGCTCAAGGAAAAGTACTATTCTCTAATCTATTTGCCCTGATGTTTGACCTCTAATCTTAAGTTGAAGTAGCTTTAACTATTAACTAAGTGGCCTGTGAATATACTGGATGCTGACTCTAAATATAAGAGGGGGGAAACCATTTGAATCTTTCTAGGATCTCTGTGAGGACCTGAGTTTCAGAAATGCCTCATGTTGGTGACGATGCAAATAGTTTTAGTGTCATAGTAAGATAGAAGCATGAGTGGCACATATCTCGAAATAGTAGTTTTAGCGTGAGTGTCTTATATCTCGAAATTAGTTTTCTCTTTTCCATAATATCAAATCCAGAGGCACATGGCATTTAAGACAGAGGTTCCACAATCTGATGCAAGATGTTGAATTTGGTCATGACGTGCATTGCATGAGGCGCAGTTACTAGTAAGAACAAGTGGTCTAGTTATGTTTAGTAACACCACAAATGTACTCAACATATTTATGAGTTTCAGAGTTCCTATAGAAGAAAAACGAAAGGACTTGACAGACAGTAACTAATTTTATATTTAAGTCAAGCAAAAACTATGCACCTGAAGCAAACACATTCTTAGAGAACTTCAAAGAAGTTTAATCACAACTAACATTAAGAATATGGTCAAAAAGCATACATGTTGAACATAAAAGGCAGCCGCAGGGAGACATCCAAGCTTGAGTTGGGTTTCATTCAAAAGGGTAGTAGATATATATAGGACCCAATGCGCGTAATACTTCTGTATCATATATTATAAACTCCTATCCCAGAAAGGCAGCAAAACCATATGAACAAGGCACGTCCAACAGCAAGCCCGACTTTGAATGTTCCAAACCTTTACAGACTCGAGAACAATTAGAAACGCGGAAAAAATAAATCAAAATAGAAGGTGACTATCCTGCACTTCTATGCAGTAACACATTTTTCTATTTAACCGGTTAATATCAACCAACATATTCAAGGTCACCTTCATTAAGACTAGATATTCCAACCTTCAAGCCATTGACAGCAGTTATCACTGCAGATTTTACCGACAGGAAAAAAAATGCAAGTAATACTGTGAGAAGACGAAAACTGGTAACACAATGGTACTGCTGAAAGCAAATATGTAAGATCATAAGACTGGGTGAAGAGAAATACGACGAACAATGCAACAGAAATATATGAACCTGACATTGCTGGTGTGACAATACCATCCACTATCACCATAGAAGTACCATAGAGAACAAGCATCAAAAGTAGCTTCTTCAGCGTAGATGAAGTCTCAAGGTGGTCCTTGATCCACAACGACATCTTGAGTTCGACCAATGGTACCTTGAGTTGGAAACCTGATATACGGTTGTCAGAGAGCAATTAGTTAGGGAGCGGACTAGCCTTTGCATTTCTGCATTTTATAGAGTATAAAGCAAACATTCCTCCGGCCAAATATACAGAACAATCATTATTAAACGTAAAGCTCAAGGAAAAGTACTATTCTCTAATCTATTTCCATTGGTATGGCATTAATATACAGTGATATCCCTTCTCCATCATCATTTCCCCATAAAACAATCAGAGTATACTTCAGCAAATGGAATTAAAATCAGAGTGTATATTACAAGAGGAAAAATGCATTGCCCTCACTCACTCATCAGCAGTACCTCTAATTAGGCTACCACTCCTCAATGCACCCTCTGGCACTCTTTCCAGCATTAATAGCTTTGTAATCCAAATTCGGGCCAAATGAATAACAACAGAGCAATCTCTCTATTTCAGTTGTAGCAGCAGCAGGCAATAAATAGAGCTAAAGGCATGAGAAAGTTGCATGTAGTAGTCTTAACAGTAGCCTTTTCAGGAAGTTACTTCCTATCCTTTAAAAAACCACAGATACTAATTCTAAGAGCATGTATACATTTTGTAAAAATTGGAACTAAACAACTGAGGTTTACAATCTAAGTCAGTGTCTTGTTTTCCATTTACATCTATATGCATGTTCCAAATGCTTGATTTCAAGGATTAAAGTGGCAAACAACTCGAGTTCCAGCAAACCAATTATAACTAGAAACTTTTACCTGATTGAGTAGCTCCATCAGAATACGCTGAACTTCTCGTCAGCCCCAGTATGAGCATCGAACCGAGCACTAGCTATAGCGTCAATCTCATCGACGAATATTATAGCCGGGGCATTCTCTTCAGCTACGCGGAATACATCACATAAATGATAGTATTATGATACAATGCATCAACAAAAGAAGTGATAAGTAGCAACCTAAGAAAAGCTTCACATAGCAATTTTTTGTGATAAACCCTAAGAAGAATATATAAACCACTACCAGAAACATTAAGAAGCATACGCAATATTACTGACAGCATCATAGGCTATATTAAGAACAGTTTACTTGCTTTGGTAATGCATACAGTAACTAAATGTTTTTTGCATGTAAGATGTATACAGAACACAAACAAAAAGATCGTATCAGATGTTAACGCACTGCTTAGGTATAGCCTTAAGTCTTAACCTTGTGTTAACAGATCTCCCAGAACACTGCAGTTCAAACAAGTCCAACTTTTTTACACTGGGAGTCTCGAGCATAAACAAGGAAACCTAGTCGACACCTAACAAAATAGGCATTGGTTACATGATCAAAGCTTAACACATGCTATATTTTTGTAAGAACAAAAGGACAACAGAAATACTGAACGCAGAAACAAGGTTAACAAATGCATGTTACAACTATCCGCGTCTTACCTCACTCAAGTACGTCTGCACAAACTCTGAACCAGCAGCAGTAGTGTGATGTGCCACCGCTTTAGCAAGCATGGTCTTGCCAGTGCCTAAAGGACCATAGAGCAGTACAACTCATGGTGTGTCAATGGTAGCTCAACTGCCTCCTGAATTTCTTGTTTTTGGATATCACATCCTCCAATGTCCTGAACATAATCAGAACAGAGCAAATTGTTATTGACTTTCTTTTATGTGTGAAACAACTGCAGTAAGTAACAAAGATACAGACTCGATAAAAGGAAAAGTTTCGGGCATGTTATGCACACAATTTTCCGCAAACATTTTAACAATCTTGGTCAACCTTAATGATAGGAGAATAAGAACTAGGCTCAAAGCAAATCATTGCATGGGCATACAGATGCTGAAGTAAGAACGCCAGAAGTAGCATTAAACCATTTCCACAGTACTATGGTAATTTGAGATCATCTATTTATGTTCGCAAGAGTAGTTTATGATCTAAGACTAAAAGGAAATGCACCAGCAGTACTAAAATGTAGGTCAGTCTCCAAAACTGATCCCAGCATTTTAAACAGTCCCTAGCAAGAACACAAATGTGGAAGCAAGTCAACGCAAAGCTATCTTTTCTTGTTTATCAGAAATGCACCCTAATTAGGCATTCACAAAATTAAGAGCAAAGACTAGCTTGCAAACCACAAAGTACCAACACTGATACTACACATGGCAACATCAAATCTACCGAAGGTTAACTAAAATTTTGCATAGCACAGGCGTCTCACAGACGTGAACAACCCAATAGAACCTGCACGGTACAGGCAAGCCCGTTTGAGACTATCATTACATCACCGCCCAAACCAACCTAACGAACCTCAGCAACCCACTGTCAGGCCCTGTAACTGATGAAACATCCGAGGACACGAGGCACTCGGACACTTGGTGGAGATGGAGTCTCTGAAGCTGGATGTCAAAACTCTGCAGCGACAAAGAGAAGAAGACCGTAAGGAATTCTCGGATTTCTCCAAGCAAGCTAACACCAACTTCATGGTCATGCAAGGTTACTTCACAAACATGCAAGCTAGCCACCTGGATAAGCTCATCTCTGCAATAGTTACTGAGCCAAGAACATATGAGGAACACACTCCTCCTGGAAGTATCCGATTTGGGGATTTACCTGCAACACCTACTCAGGGTGCAGTGAACAAAGAAGTGCCTAATTCATCCCCAGGGCAGGGCAATGTCAACATTGCAGAGAAACCAGATCTCGCCTAGGCAATATCCCAAACACCAAGCCCGCAACGAAACTGAAGCCAATTTAATTCACGGTGGCTGCTGGGAGCGGATGGGGAGAGCTGGTGACGGTACATACCGGGACATCGGGAGCTTCGACGTCGAACGAGCCGACGCGGCCGAAGCGCTGGCGCGGCAGCGCGCCCATCTCCGCCGACACCGTCTTCGGCAGCCTCCGTGCCAGGCACAAGGCCCTGGGTACGGAGAGGAGGGGCCACGCCCCGTACGCCGCGCTCGCGGCCGGTCCATGCCGCTGCGCCCTCGAAGCAACCTCGAGCGGCGGCGCTCGCCGTCGCTCTGCACACCGCGCCACCGCCGGCCACCGACGCGCTCCCCGTCGCCCCGCGTCGATGCGGCCGAATGCAGTCGACGCCGCCCGCCAATCGCCGCGAGGCCGAACCTGCGGCCGCGCGGAAGAAGGCCGCGGCACGAGGCGCGCCGTTCGACGGCGTTGGCGGGGAACGAGCCGGCCCGCGGCGCCGGCCGGTGCGGCGGACGAGGCGCTGGCACAGCAGCGCGTCCTCCTGATCCGGGTAGCTGAACTGGCCGATGACCCAGCGCCGAGTGCGCCGTCGAGAGCAGGGCCCACGCCCCGCCCGCGGCGCTCGCCGGCCGCCCCTCGAAGCGGCCTCCAGCGACGGCGCTCGATGTCGCTCCTCCGTCGGCCATCGACGCGGACGCGGTCGCCCCGCGTCAGGCGGCCGCTCTCCGAGAGGCCGAACCGTCGGCGACGGCACCTGGTGCGCCGATGGCGTCGATGTGGAAGAAGGAAGGGGGAGGATGGTGGGACTGGGCAGGGGCTCCGCGGCATATTCCCTCACTCTCTCTCTCTTCCGGGCGGTGCGGGCCCCGGTGGGCAGTGTCTCGGAGGTAAAACTCGGGCATCTCTCCTGGACATACGCCACGCTCCACGCCACACAGCTCCCCTCGACTGCTGGGGTGCTTGCTTGGCAAGAAAGCTGGGATTTGGTTGGTTTAATTAGGAGGGGTTTCACGTGCAGAGCTGCGATGTGGACGTGCCGTAATAACTAAGAATGATTGGGTGGGCCCGCGCGACGATTCTGTCCTACGTACGTCCCCGCCAGCTTGGGGGACCGGCCAGGATCAGGCCAGCCGCATGCATCAGATGAAACCTGTTTCTACTTTGGCCATCGGCTGACAACAAGTGCTCAAACGTTTTTATCTTCGCCGTTGCAATTCTTTGTAAATTTATCAGTAATATTCTTGTTTGCGAGGAGTAAATTTAACAACATTTCCAATGCATGGTTGTGCTTCTAAACCTCCAAAGCAAGAGAACATGTATATACATTATGTGTGCCTACGATAAAAAAATACAAAAAAACACAAAAATATTTTCTTTAATAATATAAGGTATCACAGTAGAGGAATGGTGAGATATCAGCACAATCTGCGGAAATAGAAGGAAGACCCTCAGGCATTTAGGGTTCCTCGCCTCCTCCACGCGCAGCTGCTGATCTACCTCGTCTCATATGGCTTTAGGGCCATGGAGACACAGGAGGTGTGGTGGATCTCACCCCCTTCCCGGCGGCAGGGCTCATGCTTCATTTTTAGGTGTTTTTCCGAATCTTTTTAGGGTTTGTGTCTTGCTCAGAAAAACGAGCGTGCGACAACTTCTTGAAGATGGAATAAGTTTCTCCACGCCTAGCCCCCATCCTGGCGCTGCACCTCACGTCATCAGAGGGCATGTGAATGTGTGCCTCCGGCAGGTCTCATGGGATTCGGTCGGTGTTTGTTTTCGTTCGTCCGTGTTCATGTGTCTACAAGTTGGATCCTTCCAATCTACCCTTCTCTTCATCGGCCGATTGTTGTTCTGGTGCGTTGGTCCTTTGAGGCTTTTAGCATGATGCCTCCTTAGACGCATTTTGCAGTTGATGAACCACGGTGTGTTTTGCTTATTTTATAGTCGGTTGTTTAAAAATTAAGCGCAGTCATAGGCAAAGACAAATAAAAAACACTAAAATGAAGAAGAAGAAGAAGAAAGGAAGGGCAAAGGGGGTCAGTGGAAATGGCAAACGCATCCTTAAACCCTACAACCCCAGCTACACTACGTCACTTTATCGCATGCTAATCTCATCTCCATCACCTTATCCCTCCGATCCACTGCCCGCACCATTATAGGTGCTCTAGCTTGAGAAAGGCGAGGTGAGAGAGCGGCTAAGCCTACCTCAGAACAATTGTTTTTGTCCCGTCTAATGGGGCGCATAATGTGGCTAGATGAAATATCGTAGTGCCTATTTGAAGTTAATCTATGTAGATGGCCCATACACAAGCTAAATCCAGTTCAAGGAAGATTGTGTATCTTCTAAAGGTGGGTTACGCTAGGAGACTAGATCGGCAACATGATGTGTACACAATAATCTTCATTTGATGTCCCTGCTAAAATGTGTATCGGAATCAAAGGCACGCATGTAGCCATTGTAGAATATGAAAGCTAGGTGAACGGGTGGCTTGAAGAGGTCTTCAAGTGCATTTCGTCTAGCCGGATGCCAGCACCTTGCCTCATCAACAATGCATGTGAAAACATGGTTATAAGAGGAGCGGTTTTGGTTCAAGACTATAATTTTGTTCTTTCCATGTCATCCAACCCGCGAGCATATATGCGGGCTTCCAGTTGGAGTTCTTCTTGTTGTTTAGGACCTTTAGTTACATACACCAATTGTCCTTCGGTGGCAGATTAATCTTTAGAGGTATGACATTGAAAGGTTGTCCAATCTTTGAAGTACCCTTTGATCACCCACAACCTTGGCACGCGGAAAGGGCAGTCTGCGCAATGCATGTGTTGGGCAGTCTATAAGCAGAGGGGATAAATGGGTTGCAGGCAACCCCTCATGGATAGCACGTCGACGACATCCAATGGCAAGACACATAAATTATTGGCTCTATTGGTGGATTTGGAGCTCCAGATCAGCGAGTCATCGTCAGAATGTATCGATCCATCAAACTGCATAACATAGGTCGTGGCCCGGGAGTACACACCATCAATGCCTGTCTAATTGTGACCTCACCTTCATTTTTTTCTTGTACAATTGTTATGTAACTATACTCTTCCCTTATCAATGAAAATAGCTACTAGCATGCTAATCTCATCTCTATCACCTTCTCCTCTGCTCCATTGACTGCACCAGTGTTTTTCTCTTAGGTGATCTTGCTTGAGAATGGTTGGGTGAGAAAGCGTTTACGCCTAACTCGAAACGATAGTTTTGCCCCGGATCGTGGTACAGATTGTAGTGCCAATATTTCGGGTTAATTCATGTTTTTGGCACATACACAATCTAGATCCATTTCAAGGAGGATTGTGTATCTTCTAAAGACACGTTACATCGTGTGACCTGATCCACACAAGATGAAACACAATGATCCTTCATTTTATGTCGCTATCAAAATGGGTGCAATTCTTCTTGGTTCAAGGTTTTTAGTTTCCGAAGAGACTAGTAAAAGAAGCATATTTTGGAACCCCAAGGACTCAATTAATGTTATATGGATATGGGAAATATAAGATTTCTGACCCTAGCAGGAAAAAACGGGGAAGAGATACCCAACAATTTCTTATATATAGAAAACAATCCTCATAACGTGACCCTGCTTTTCAAGGTAAGAAGGGGTGGAGAAAATACCCCGAGGTGAGGTTCAAGGGCCAAGTGATGCATCACCCAAGCATGAGCTTGACTAACATATAGCTTACCTACAGACAAAAAAATTAAAATTAAAATTAAAAGGAAGTATGTTTTAGAACCAAGCAAAACCAGGAAACAAACGTAGACAACAAACCACTAAAGAAGCGGAAGCCTTGGTAATCAGGTGGCTTGAAGAGATCTTCAAGTGCATTTTGTCAATCGAGGCAACTTTCAGCACCTTGCATCATCAATATTTAGTGTCAACATCGTCATGCGAGGAGAAATTTTGATTGAGGCCATGTTATTCAGTTGTTTCCATGACGTCCAAGCCGTGAGCATATATGCATGCAACCTTCTAGCTGGACCTCTCCTTCTTGTTTAGGCCCTCTAGTTGCCAATAGTTCCCCACTGGTATATAATGATTTAGAGGTATGACATTGAAAGGTTGTCCAAGCTTTGAAGTAACCCTTTGACCACACAACCTTGGCGCATAAAAGGGCAATCTAGACTCTAGAATGATGTGTTTGGCAGTCTTAGGATCTTGCAAGCAGAGGTGAAAAGGGGTTTGCAAGCAAAACCCCTCACGGACACCATGTTAACAACATCTAATGGCAAGCCACGTAAATGATTGGCTCCGAGGAAGGATTTGGAGATACAGATCAATAAATCATCGACATGACATACCGGTCTATCAAAATGCATGACCTAGGCTGAGGCCGGAGAGACCATCCGCCCGTCTGATTGTGTCCTCACCTTCATTTCTTTTTTCAATATGTACAATTATTATATAACTTTACTCTTCTTCTTTCTTCACGTCAAGAGACGAATCCGGCAGTAGGGAGGAGCTCGGTGGGGATGGTGGAATCCAACGACGCGGAAGTACATGAACGGTGGCAGGAGCTCGCGCGGGGGACGACAACGGGAGCTCAGGGATATCCGCGAGATGGGGTGGCTACTTTGCAAGCTCAATGAGGCCAGGTCGGTCGCGATGGAGGCCGCCGAGGGTCGGGGTGGTGGCGTTGTCGACAAATGATCGAAATCGGCCAACGCGGAGGTAGGGTGAGGCGGTGGGGCAGCAGTGAAAGTTCACACCGACGGTTGGGTTCCCGCCACAACCGCTTTGTTTTCGGGCGGATGCTGTTGGTGGTGCTGCAAATATGCAACACTTGGAGCTGAAAATTTGCTGGAGCTTGTTTCTTGGGTCAAAATGTTCTAAACGGTAATCTTTTTGGCACGGCCGCAATTTTTCATTATATTGGAGATGCTCTAGCATCAACTTTACGCGTCCTCCTGTCCAAAGAAAAGCTCAGGGTTCCACTGCCTCCCGCCGGCGCCGCCGCCGGTCCG